AATGTTGCAGCTAAAGCATGTAATTTCACGTAAATTGATTTTTGAATTATTGAAAAAATTGAATAAACACTATCAGTAAGATAGTATTAAGTTAAGTTATGATAAATTGGAAGAAAGAAATAATTCTAATGTACAGTATTGGTTATGTCAAATTAATTTTTTTTATTGTAACCTCTCACATCAAACATTTGATGTGAATGCCATAATGTGACATGATTCAGCAGCAACTCAGGTTTCTTGTACCACGAGTCCATGGATGCAACAACAAAATTACTATAACACAACATGCACAACTCCTGCCATGAAATTTGATCAATTTCTTCAAGATAAGACCTGCCTAATTCCTACTTGGAGATATTATAGCCATAATAAATCACACATTCATGGCTTTGAAATACTGCGGGTAGTTGGTACCAACTACCAACCACCGTACCAACTTACCAAAAACATCATATGAAATTTATTTAATTAGATACGCAAAATGCAGGAATTGTACATCATTCTCAGGCTTCCAAGAAAAACATACAAAATTTATTTAATTAGGTACGTAAAATGCAGGAATTGTACATCATTCTCAGGCATTCAAGAAAAACATATGAAATTTATTTAATTAGGTACGCAAAATACAGGAATTGTACATCATTCTCGGGTTTCCAAGAAAAACATATAAAATTTGTTTAATTAGGTACGCAAAATGCAGGAATTGTACATCATTCTCAGGCTTCCAAGAAAAACATATAATATTTCATGCAATCATGAATGCAAAAATCCAACAATGAGAGCATAAATGCAGTTGTAAATATGAACCTTAAAACAACCAACAAAGGAGAAAAATATCATTAGTTTGGCTGAAAATATATAAGCAAAGTATAATATTTCATTGCTTATATAATATAAGCAATGTATAAATTTTAAGCAATGTATAATATAATATTTTATAAAATATATTTTAATATATAATATATTTTATAATATATATAAGCAATGTATGGTCAATCAGCAGATTAAAGATTCCACATTAAAATGAAATTCTGAGCTTTCATGAAGAGAAGTTGTAATAAATATTCTATATCTTTTTGAAGTATGTTGTCAATAAATATTGTAAAAATATATATTGTGTTTATATTAAAGAGTGCATAGAACTATCTGTACACTTGATTCATGGATTCATTGTGCTTCATCCTTTAATGCTTGTTAGTTAGAATAGAATAGAATAGAATAGAATAGAAGTGTCGGCGTTGAAGAAATAGGCCCATGGCCTGTTGCCGATTCTTGAACTTTTCAACAACACAGAAAAAAATTTTGTAGTGATTTTTATTGAACCATGTTGAATTCATTTCAAAATAAAATAGAATAGAGGAAATTTTTAATTACACTTGATATAAATCATGAGAACCTATTTTTTGTGCAAAGATTTTGCCACTCAAAGTAAAAACTCCCTTGTGCCAGCATGAATGTTCTTATACCTTTTCCAATTTTTAGACCTACCACATGAAAAATTTATAATCATATTTTTTTTGTTGCTGGCTTTGATGTTTGCTTGATATGTATTAATTTAGAAGGATAGAAAAATATAACACACCCAAATTTCAAAAAATCATTCAAAGGCATAATCCACTACAAGTGCTAACAGAAGTTATTGCCAGTATAGCTAAATTAAAAAGCCAATATTCAGTTGTCAGTTTTGTACGCACAACTTAATCCAACATATTCTGTAAATACTATCAATAAATGTTGAAACTTGAATGTATCACATAGATAATTTTATTTATGTTTCATTCATTTTCATTCAGGAATTATTAATTTGCATGCATATCTCAACCCAATTATAAGTATTTTTGCTTCCAAGTTTAGAGTTAAACAGTCTCACTAGCACACTATTGTTCAACCTCCAAGTTGTCATTCACTTCAATTTCTAATTTATCTGTTCTCATTAATATTGTTTGAAGTTTTAGCCATTTTATTTTAATGCTCTTCAGTTCATTATAACTTGCTTCTGATTCTTCAGTTGCTAAATTGAATAAAACATGGCGTGCACTATCAGTTATCGTATTATTTGATTTTCTTCATTTATTTGAAGTAATTTAATGCTTACTTATACCTTCCAGCTGATGGATTCTACTATTTATACCATTAAAAATAAATCAGTGTACACGCTCTGACCTGACAATCTAATTAGATGCGCATCAACATTCCATCTGGATTCAATCCATAATTCAGACTACATTGGAAAATGTCCTCAGAGTTAAATTACAAACTTTTGAACTCAACCATAAACGAGTTAGGGGAAATAAATGTTATTATATAATGAGCAGTAAATCAATGTTAATCAAAATTCAATGGGCTGCAATCACCATGTAATTAGACTGTTCAAATCAAGGACCCAGTAACTCAGCTTCATGTCTAATGTTATTAGAGTAATTTTTTTCAAGTTATGCACATTATTGAGCAGTTACAGCAACAATTGTATGAATAATTGTTTGACAGTGAATCTTGTCAGCTCAATCATAAGAGAAGAGTAAAAGCTAAATGCATGTTGTTTTAGTTACAGAGCAGCAACAAAATATTTTCTGATAAATGCATCATGTATGTGACAACAATAAAAACAATATCAAAAATGCATTTGATAATATTTGCCATTGCTTGAAAGAAATGCAGCGAGCACAAGATGTGCACTCAATGAACACACCTAAGCTTCTCCATGAGAGCAAGAGGGTCTCTGTAGTGATGAAAAACAAGCGCTCACTGCTTAGAAATATATAAATATATATATATATATATATATATATATATTGCCATGTTTATTTAAGGTGAAATATCAAACATGAAGATATAGCTTGGCAACTGTTTAACCCTAGGAGAAATGAAGATATTTTATTTATATCAAACATGAAGATATAGCTTGGCAACTGTTTAACCCCAGGAGAAATGAAGATATTTTATTTATCTATGCTGACCACTAATAATTATGTGAATAAATTAATTTTAAACATAAAGATTGAATAAAGTGAGAATAAAAAAATATATAATGCTACTATGTGATTCATACTAAAATTGTTAAATATTAGTCTAAAGTGTACACTGTAACATTACATTCATATAAAGCTGATACAATTTCGTATAATTGGTTCCTAATTAAAATAAAGATAAAAATAAAAAAATTTAACTCCCCTGATTGGCCAGAAAATTCAACTGAAAAGTCTAAAAATCCTCAGGTTCAAATCACAAATGATTTCAAGTCAATTCCAAGGACATTTGAGTCTATGTTAGGCTCAAATTACTGAGCCGTGTAAATTAAAATGTTACATCAAGACAACATGGTGAGGAGACAGAGTAGTCGTGGGAAAATAATGTCATTAATTAATAAATAATTAATTAACAAGTCCTTTAAATGCTCACAAGAATAAGTGATCGTCACGCCCTCAAGTTCCTATAGCTTTTTAAAATTATTTTTATACACAATAAAAACTCTATGCAAAAAGGATGAACTATGGTGCATTTTTAACATGTCCCTCACTAATCGTCCAAGACCCACTCATTTTTTGCTCTAAATTAAATCAAGATGGTAAATTAAATCAAGATCATGGCAAACACTGTCATGTTTAGAACTACAATTGCAAAAATGACAAAAAAATTCAATTCAAAATAAGAAATTAAATTTTCTTAATTGCTTGCTACAAGAAAGTTGATCAATGACATCTCTTCATGAAGAAAAAGAAGGTTTGTAAATTTCATTAATCAATTTTATCCTTTTTTTCTATGGTTAGATACTAACACCAGAAATAATCAGATCAAATCAAATTTAAAAAGTTAGATCAAAACACCAGAAATAATTTCTAACTTCATCAGATAATTAGCAGCAATAAACAAATAAAAAATAAGTAGAACAATTACATTAAACAAAAACAATTACATTAGCATAAAGTTTTGAAAAATTATATTTAGTTGGGTAATATGTGTAACTATTTGATAACTTATAATAAGTATAATTCCTTAACGTGATTTTAATTATTTTTAGTCTAATGTAACAAGTCAAATAAACTGTGTAATTAATTAATTAATAAACTGTGTAAATAATTATAAGCCTAAATATTTTTATGAAGCTCCATCAGTTTCTTCGTGAACAGACAAACCATCATCATTAATATAAAAATATTTTCCTACTAGTGAATGGATGATATCCTTCAAAAGGAATATTTTAATTGCCTAAAAAAACATTCACATTCATATATTCACGCTCATTTTCTCAACTCTCAATGTAAACACCACTATCTAATATTAACAAAAAGCAACAGATGTTGATTAGAAATTTCGAAAAATTAAGTCTCAATATTTTAATGTTCTTCAGTCCAGTATATATTCTCCATTTTTTGAAACCTAGTGAGAAAATATGTACATAATTTCATTTAAACAAAATGGAATTTAGGTGTAGTCTCTGCATACTTCAATTGTGAAAGTATTCTAGAAATAATTATACAAACTAAAAAGCAATATTCAGATTGTTCATTCATTCATTCTGAATTGTTCAGATTGTTCTTCATTCAGATTGTTCAGTTTAATCCAGATTAGATATGTTGGTGAAAATTTTTCGATATGATGATCTAAAAAATATCACAACTTTAACTAGGAAAAAAAGCCTAACAAGGCTAAACCAGTGCTGGCTCATAATTTCTAATAAGTTTGAAGAAGGAATGCAGGGAAATGAGTGACCAACCTCTTGTGTGGCTTGTCATCTGGAGATGATAACATTGATTATTGACACCATTAATTTAATGAATTTGAAGAATAATTTAATGAATTTAATGAATTTGAAGAATAATTTAATAAATTCAATGAATTTGAAGAAGGAATGCGGGGAAATGAGCGACCAACCTCTTGTGTGGCTTGTCGTCTGGAGATGGTAACGTTGATTATTGACACCATTAATTTAATGAATTTGAAGAATAATTTAATGAATTTAGAGAATTTGAAGAAGGAATGCAGGGAAATGAGCGACCAACCTCTTGTGTGGCTTGTCGTCTGGAGAGTCAGCAACATAAGCCTTGAGCTCGTAGTCTACACCGCAGGGCTTGCCCATGTCACCGGGCGCAGGCTGTAGCGTCACTGACGCAGGGCAGTGAGGTGGCAGCTCAAAAAAGAATGGGAAGGCATTTTCCCCCAACTTCTTCATGAGCCTCTCCTGATAAACATAATTAAATAAAGTGAATTTCCAGAGGCACATCAAAAGTTTAAATGCATAAATAAATATAACTCAGTACTCACTGCAGTGTGTGACAGAGAGCGCATTTTCTCGTCAACGAAAACGTGAAGTCACGGACGGACGGACAAACAGATAGACAGACAGACGGACGGACGGACAGACGGACATGGCAAGCACAATAGTGCATTCTTTCCATAAATGAGAAATGCACAAAAAAGAGATGGTCCCATCATCCTGTAACTCCAACGGTTAAAAAAAAGAACCAAGATTCAAAAGGAAAAATTCAAAGTACAATAGAACCTTAGAGGTTGATATCAGAACCCAACATAAAAGTCCTGAATTCAAGTCAAATTCTAGTGTAATTATGAATCAGAAGTTGCCAGAGATTCAGAAGGCAATGCAGCCCATGTGACCATAATGGACCAAAATTGCTCTGCTCTGCTCATTGGATCTGTTGCTGGTTGGCATTAGTCTGCTTCATTATTCAGCTGGTACTAGAATGTTTTCAGATTGCAACATCTTTGTTTAAAGTTTTAATAATCATGTGTTCTTTAATGTCATTGGATTTGGAAGTTGACCATTTAGAAGTCAATGCTCTTCCTAGAATAGATAAATATTGGTTTCTAGTGTACCACTGTATCTAGTAATATAATTATAACAATTCATAGTATAGACAATTAGAAAAGAAATAATTTAATAAATGTACAAGTGAACTGGAATAATGCTGATCATACATGAGATATGCATGAAACTAAACATTCTATCAATATGTAGCAGTATTTATAAAATGATTGAAAATATGTATCAATAATTGAACCATAAACCACATAAACTTCACACAAATTGAACATTTGACTGTAAACTTTCATTAATGAGTTTTTTACCCATAGCAGGCTTTCAATGCAAGAACAGTTAATTTCAGCAAAAGAATATCATTTTTAAATATACTAGAGGAAAGTTTCTAACAACCAATCCAGACAGATTGACAATTATTTGAATTCTTATTATTAAACTCAAGTCCTATCATCCAAATCACTTTTGTAATACATGAATTCACAATTTAACATACCTACATAAAATGACTCTTAATTACAATGACCATAAATTAAACACTTAAATTTTATGACTTTTAGGTGTGCACTACCTGACATTTTTTAAATATAAAATGTCACTGGAAGGCAACATGTTGAAATAGTGAAACCGAGACACCCATACCTGTAGTCTGCTGAGATTCTTATTTGTAGAACCATTGTCAGGGCAGGGAAATATTTGTTCACTTGCCAGGTACAAGTCTTTGCGGAAGGTCAACCCCAAAACATCGAGATCCTCTCGACCATATCTGAACACAAGGTATATAAGGTATAAGGCATGGCCCCAAAACATCGAGATCCTCTCGACCATATCTGAACACAACGCAGATCATAAGGCATGGCAGGCTTACAAGGGGTAGTTCAAGTTCCATGGAGCAAAGAAACAATAGGTATTAATACTTGAAGCTCAAATGAATATTTTTACATAAGACCAAGTACAGCTGATCAAGGCTGTCATCATAACATCTCAGAAAGTGGATAAACAATCATACACTGCAATAAAAATCTTCTCACTTACAATTTCCCAAACTGAATAAAGGCACTTTCCAAACTTGTAGATAATTGATGCAAAATCATATAATGAAATGGTGTAAAACACTATGAAAATTAAAAAGAAAAAATGACAATATTCTAAATGAAAAATCTAGAATGAAAAGCCAATTAAAATGCCCAAGGTAAAATGTTTAAATTTATTTATTAAAACCTTCTACTATATTAGCCAAAATGTAGTTAGGTACCCTATGTCATTGTTCACTGATATTATCAGGCTTTGGCTGTTGGATTAGAATGGTGACAAAAGTTATTGTGTGACAAAACTTAGCATGTGCTAAGTCTATGGGCTTGTTAACAAGTACCATAACTGTATGTAAAAGGGGAAATGATATGACCTGATCTATTGTCAACACAGTTAGCTGGATTAAACAAGACATATCTGTACAACTACGTTACTGTATGGTAAATACCTAGATCGTGTTCTATAAATTTGCTACCATAGCAAAATGAATTAAAAAATAAATTGTAGTCCATACTGCAATTGAAGATTTTACACTCTATTGCTCACTTATATATTACTTTTCTGACAGTAAATGCATCATGTGATGCTGTATACCTGTGAACCTACCTACACCTTACTTCATATAGTAATTTGTTACTTATACATAACTTTTTTCTTCTTCCACATTCCTATTTGAATAGCATAAGTATAACAAATGTCATATATTGGCAATCTAGAAATTGGGTGAACCACCCTAAATGCAAACCTAATGCTATTGAGTAACATAGCTGGACAGATACAGACTTCAATAAGCAATAACAAAATAGCTAACACATAATAAATGTTTTATAAACATTCATTACCAAAAAGTCCTCATAACATGCACAACAAGGCAACCAAAGACTCACCTAAATGCTGCCAAGACGTGACCATAAACCTTGCGGTCTTTAAGATACTCTTTGTCTACAAGTACAACGCCATCTGTGAAAACAAAATTAAAATTGTACAAAAATCTCTTATTCATGAACTACGGGGCACAAATTAAATTGATCCAGATAATGTTCAACTGCTTTAACTGAAACTTTAGCAAGATTACAATCATTCAATAAAAAAAAATGCAAGTAAGATCGCAACTAACAACATTGAAATAATTGGTGAAAAATATGATTCTCAAATTTCTCCATAAATCTTTGAAGTGCTTCAAACTTCAATGCTTTCATTAATCAATAATATCCAAGATGAAATAGACAAAAACTGGATTTAGCTTGGACTAATAATTTGACTTGAAAAATAATATTCGTTTAAAAATTACTTTTTAAAGACAACACTTCCAAGGAATCCAGTGTCTCCAATCTTACGGATGTACAATGAATTTCTCATTTAATTTCGAATATTAAAAAAATTAATTTATTAATATATAAAATTTTTTAAATATATAAATTTTTTCAAAATTATTTATTCTGTTAATTGATTCATGCATTGCCTCCGACTTCACACAAGTGTGCAAATTTTCAGATCAATTAGACAGGTAAAGTGTGTCAAATATCAGTTAGAAGATTTGTAGCTGACAAAATTATTTTTTTAATTTTTTTAATATTAAAAAAAATTAAAATTTTAAAATCATTTATTTTAACATTTGATTCATGCATTGTCTCCAACTTTACACAAGTGTGCAAAATTTCAGATCGATATGATAAGTAGAAGTGTATTAAATTTCAATTACAAGATTTGTAGCAGACAGACAGACAAACAAGAAGTGAAGTTAAAGAGAAGTGTTGTAATAATTAAACCAGAATGACATCACCAACAACTCACCTATTGGGTCAACATGAGTCACATGGTCGACAAAATCTCTCTTGCCCAGGTAAACCGTTATTTTACCATTGGGTGAACTCTTCTTGAATACTCTGCAAAAATTATTCATATTAGTAAGAAAATAAAAATATATCTTAAACATAGCAGAATTTTTGCCCTCAAAGCTATAATCAATATTACAGAAGTGATGGTATTATGCATTTCAATCAATACCTACAGGGCACATTATAAAATACCATCTACACTTTTATACACATCCGTTGTACACAAAATGGTGACTGAAACATCAACAATATTTCACACTAACACCAATGCACTCAAGTTGCAACAGCACTTATGTTGCCAGCCAGGCAGCCTTCAATAGTAGCAATCTAGTTTATAAAAAAATTAACAACAAATTTCTAACAAGATTGAAATTGCTTCATCTGCTGAGGCAAATTGGTATAGTTGATTGATGGTAAGCTATGGTACTTTTAATGAGAAAAATACATTTGGTAGCTATAATAATTTCATTATTCTGCACTAGGATTCTTTTAAAATATGAATTTGCATTTAGAAAAACTCTACAATACCATATACCATAAAATGGGTTGACCATGACCAGCAGGGTGAGTTGGAAAGTTTTGACATACCTTTAAGAAAAGAAATCCCTACAACTCAAAAAGTTCTTACTTTAAAAAATGTGTGTTGATGGCTCTCAAAGTACCACGAGATAATCTACATATGCAATAAAGAGATATATTTCATACAGTTACTATGAAACTGTATCACAAAAAGGAAGTGCTCAAAAATGCACAAATTTTGTACCCTATCAATATACCCCTCTTATTTTTCAACGATCTGACAGAATGACTGCTTATATTGATACATTACACTATAAGCATTCCAGTTTCATGTACTAAAGCCAACCTAAGACAATTGTGATAGTTATGCAATGAGAAGGGGGAAGCCTTTAATACAAATTTAGACTTGGACAAGTCTAAATGACCTCAGATGGGGTAGCTTGGACCAAACCATATTGTAATTAGAAACCAAATTTCATCATATAACTTATGTTTATATATAACACTTACAGCTACATACTTACCTACCTACAATAGGTATGCCTAGGCAGAGGTGGGCAGTAGCGCGCTACATGTAGCGGCCGCTACTAGCGGCCGCTACATTTTCAGTAGCGGTAGCGGTAGCGGCTCTACATTTAAGGCAATGTAGCGGTAGCGGTAGCGCCCGCTACATATTTAAGTAGCGACACGAGGTTTTGCCGCTACAGCGCTACCGCTACATTTATAGATAAAGCCTTTAGATTTTACTTAAATGGACCGGCTACCCTTCAACAAAACTTTTTTGTTTACAGATGGATCGTTTTGAAACTTGGTACACATATGTAAAACAGAAATCTAAGACCTTTTTGTTCATGTAAATTTAAAAAAATGAAAGAAAACGTGGAATTAATTGAAAACGGCATATAAAGGGTACTCTAAAAAAGTTTATAACTTTTGCAAATCACATGCTACAATGTCGAGACACATATCATTCGATTTGTAACAACAATATCTAGCGACTGTAGAGCCCCGGTTTTTGATTTTCCTCATCGTTTTCTTTTCGCGTTCTTCCCATTTTTTTCACATTTTTACCCCCCCCCCACCTTTCTCCCCCTCCCATATATAAGTCAAACCATGCACATATTAGAAAAAAGCTTCAAGAGTCGCTAGGTATTGTTTTTACAAATCGAATAGTATGTCTCTCATTGCCGTAGCTTGAAAACTGTTGGAGTTATAATTTTTTTAAGATGGCGTTTTTTGGATTTTTAAATTGTTCAGGGGAGCCAAATAAAGTAAAATTCATTGAAAACAGAATAATATGCCCAAAAAGTCTTGATATTGTAGCCCAAGCTTTCCCATTGTCAATTATTTGCATTCAGGGTACCAGCACGCGTCTTTAGACCTATTTATTTTCAATTTAACGTGAATAATAGTCTATAAATGGGACTTTTTATATATAAATATATATATAAAATATTCCTTTTACATAACTTTACAACTGCATTACGCAAAAACTATTGCATGAACATCCATGGTAGTTGCTTTGTTAAACGCGTCTAGTTTGTAGCTTTCAAACGAGTGCAAACACTTTGCAATTAACCTAAATAATGACATAAATACCATTTATTTGTAAATAATGATATAAATGATCATTTTATAAAAGTTCTAGACTGCATTACACAAAAAAGTATTGCATGTACATCTTTGGTAGTAGCTTTGTTGAACGCGTCTCGTTTGTAGCTTTCAAACGAGTGCAAACACTTTGTAATTAACGAGAGTAATGATCTATATATACAGATTTAATTCAAATAAATCTTTGTACATATTGTTAAAAAATGTTCATATATATATTTTTAAAATTGTCTTACGCAAAAATTATAGCACGCACAGACATGTGGTAAATTGCATTGGCGCGCAGTTGGTGGGTCAAGAAAACGGTAAAGCCAAAATTTCCGATTTTTAGGGTAGCCGATCCCCTTAATAGTATTAAATATTATTTTAAAACCAGCATGATACATTCATAATTATAAATTACAGAATAAAACTGTACGAAAGATTTCGGTGTAATGTTGTCAACCTCAGCCTGTTACTAGTGTCAACATGTTAGTTGTTACTTGTTAAGTTGTTATCAGCTACAGGTTTTTTTTCATCTTTCAGTTTGCTTACAGTTATTTTTACACAGTTATTTTTATGTTTCACCTTCCCTACATGGATGTCTACTTTAATCTACCAATCTCAAAACTAAACCACATATATATACAAAAAAGACAGATTTTTATATGTATATGTGGATAATTTCTTAGATTGGTAGATTAAAGTTCACATCCATGTAGGGAAGGTAAAACATAAAAATAACTGTAACTTCTAGTTACTGTATCTAACCCTGGGGTAATCCATACTAGTTCGGTTAGGTTAATTGCAATAAAGTTGCATTGATATGTTTTAAAAATGTTTTATTATCATTAAATGTTAATGAGTAAATCCCAATAGCAGAACAATAAATATTTAGAGATTTCCAATAATTTTGGCCATTGTAGCGCCTAATGTAGCGCGCTACATTTTACTGTAGCGGTAGCGGTAGCGCCCGTTACAATCTAGTGGGTGTAGCGGTAGCGGTAGCGCCCGCTACATTTAGAGCATGTAGCGGTAGCGGTAGCGCCGCTACATTTCCAAGTAGCGCTGCCCAGCTCTGTGCCTAGGACCTACAAGAGCCATAAGGGCTCCCACACCTTCAGGTACTATATGGGTGATGAAGTAAACAAAAGTGGTAGATTTAATAAGAGACAAGAAAATAAGTATAACCAAAGCTGTTAAAAACTTTATGGCATAGGCAAGTCTGTTTTGTTCAACAGAGTGCTTGGAAATTATGTTACAAAGCCTGTGTGCCAAATGTTTTGAGTACACAGGATGAGAGCTTTATTGTCAAAAAACTCTACAGTGTAGTGATTTTGGCTACCCATTTCAGCATATGGAGCTAAGAATTATTGTCAAAAGCTACCTCAATGAGCAAAGGCAAACTGTCCTAAGTTTTCAATGAACCATCCAGGGCCCAATTGATCTTCTTCCTTCATCAAGCATCAGAGCACTTTGAGCAAAAGACAAGCAAATGATATTAAAAGATCAAGAGCAGCTGTGGGGAGCAAACTCTAAGAGATTACCATTCAAGACTGGCAGAAGAATCCCATATTTTAACGATGAGTGGTCAAAGTCACCCTTCAAGGCAGGTTGTGGGCCTCACCTTTTCCTACAACTACATGAATACCAAGAGGAAGAGAAGCCTGCACATGCTGGTAAGTTAGCCTTGGGTACACACTTCACATATGCATGTTTCAACTTACGTCAAACTTAGCTGGTTTAATAATGATGTACTTTCAAAATTCTAAACTGTTCCAAGTCACCTCATTTTATAGTATTCTCTGAAATATGACAACCTTACACAGACAATGAAAATCTGTTTTGGGTAAGCACATAATAAATTTGCCAGCTATAATTCTGGGAGTTGGACTGAAGAAATCATTCAAAGCTATTGACCTTTGTGCTGCATTGCATGAATGACCTGGCCCTATACTTTCAAAGAAAGTTAAGAGATCGTAAGTTCATCAGCCAATCATTGACGGCCTTTCAAGCAAAATCCACCAATCATAGACAAGAAAATAGAGCGTAAGTACTTACGTTCACTTAGCGAGTTTTGAAAGTATGGCCCCTTGGCAACATGATGACACCAAGCATTGTGCAATGCATTATAACTGAAGTCTTCATTTTAAAAAGACTTTCTTTACTACAATCCAGAAAATGCACTTGTACCTATCAGGAAAAATTAATACTAACAATCTTACCTTGTGCCTTGCCGCTTAGAATCCTCCATTGTGTGCTATGATACAAGGGGTTTTTTATGGTATGAAATTAACATCACCTCATGCTCATCTAAGCTCTATAGACTTATTGCAGTCTCATTGATATTGAACCTGAAAAAAAAAACATTTACAAGGGTAAATTTAAATAAGGCACTATATTAAATTATTAACTCAAACAATGGTCAAAATATGGACACAATCATAGCTTAAAGTGATTAAAAAAATTAAATAGAAAATAAATTATTCAAATGGAGTCGCTTTGCTCAAAATTAGACTGTAGTCATAGTGAGGTGCCAATAGCTTTTGGATAATAAACATTTTAATCTTGACTTCTTTGGCACTAATGTATATAAAACAATTTTAATTATATTGTGCAAATTACAGAATGGAAGCATAAAGAATTAGAAGGTTCAATAGAATTGAAATTGATTGAATTTTAAAAACCTGCTATCATAATATACTTTAGCCAGTTGGCGTAGCACATTAGCTCAGACATTAGTACCTACCATCAAATGGGGTAATAAGGGACGGTTTTGAGCATTTTTTGTTGATAACGTCTTCCCATGAAACATTTCATACACATTTTTGGATCATTTTAAAGCTCTTTGCAAGAGCTATTGTATGGCATCTGAAATGAAAGCATCCCAAATTAACCCTGAGAATGGGGTAATGCGGAACACTAGAAATAAAACTCAATTTGAACATTTTAAGCATGTAAAGTGTACTTATCCTTTACAAACAGTACTCTCAAGTCCTTTTCTTCCTTTGTAGATGATGTAGATGTAGAATAAATGACATTTTCAATGATTTTTACTCATTTTGCCTTTATTGATGATATTACCATATCAATACATTACTGTATTATTGATGTTACATTAAGCCTTGACAACAACCTTGTTCACTGCAAGTTTACAGGAGGGCTTGTAATTTCACACTATTCTAATTGGGTCAAGTCAATATAACAAAAAAAAACAAGATTGTAAAAAACATACCTGAAACAAATAGGAATATTCTAGTGAGAACCATCATATTTTTTGGAGAAATAAGTCATAGTTTAGGTTAATAACTTTTCATTCTATGATGTTGGTGCACAATTATATCTATGACATTATATGCACAATTTTGTGATGACCAATGATGCATTCATTTTTTGTCAAGTGTAATTTTTTTCACTGAGCAAGGTAAATGCATATATAATAAAAATTTTGTGTAGTCAATAGATTTATTCATTAACTGGAGCCCTTGCTAATCAATGTTCTAACACATTCACATATTCAACATAAATAAAATAAATGTGTAATATTTATACACATATTACCACAAATATACGAATAGCTGGGCAAAAGTGTACTGTAAATGGGTTTTAAGGGGTGTTCCTTACAAGTTACAACCTGGTCTTGCAGGAATGGCCACCATTTTTTTAATTAGGTGAGCAAATTCCATCAATCATGTTTTTAAGCCAACACCTTTGTGCAACTTTTATGTGAGTAAAATTTTTTTATATGGCAAATAAGTTTTTTTGCTACAGGCCTTAGCAGAGGTACTTTTCAAAAATCTCCCTTTTCACACTTTTTTCAGGGATTTTTTAGATGTAGTGAATGTATGATTTCTTAACTTGCTTTATGCTACATAGATAGTAAAAACCTTGAACTTTATGCCACTATTTTTAGTTCTGCAATATTTTGTTTAGTTTAGCTGCTACAATATTTCTACAAAATGTTGGAGGACAGTCCCTTATTACCCACCTATCCCTTATTACCCACCCATCCCATTTTACCCACCTGTCCCTTATTACCCACCCATACCTTATTACCCACCCATCCCATTTTACCCACCTGTCCCTTATTACCCACTCATACCTTATAACCCACACATCCCTTATTACCCCATTTGATGGCACTTCTTGTTGTGACAAAAGCAATAGGAAGATGAAACGGCAATTGTGAACCTGTGATAAAAATACAAATAATCAAATAGGAACTTTGAAAGTAGAACATTCAAACAAAACAAAATTTGAAAGTACATAACACAAGCTATCCTGGTTCCAGTGTAGTAAAATAATAAAATGAAAATGTGAATTATGAATTTATGAGCAGATTGAATGTGTCTGAAAGTGAATTGGGCAAAAACTAGTTTGCCGCCTCATGGAGGTGGAGCGCAGGACAGTGAGGCCAGAGTGCAAAGGGTGCAAGCAGCGTCGCCAAGATATGGATTCTTAACTAAAAGCATCACCTGCCATTTTCAAGAAGCGTTGCCAGGTAATTTTTATTAGAGAGCTGCTAACAACTTTGACAGTATATCTCTTACTCTCCATGCACTGCAACACTTACACTCATTGCAACTGAATTCTGGACAAGCTTCACTGCATCTTGATCCATCTAATGTACCGGAAACCTCCCAGTGTGCGCTTGCGGTCTTTCAGATTTGCAATAATTGCAATAATTTCAAAGTAATTTCTAAAATTCAATAATTTCAATCCAACCAAGTGTGTAGCAAGATCTTCTGAAGGCACAAATTTTGCTGCTGATGCATCGCCAAAGATCTTTTGATATTCACCCACTTTCTGCACCCTGGCAGTGAGGCAGAGCCATAAGTACTTTTATTCCTAGAATTACACTATACCGCCAACCGGGGCTACTCGGGACAAGCGGGGCTACTCGGGACAGGCCTCTGACATGTCGTAAAACTGTTGTAGTAGCAAAACTAATTGAAATATTGCAAAACTAAAAATAGTGGCATAAACGTCAACATTTTTCCTATCTATGTAGTATAAAGGAAGTCGAAAAATACTACATTTACTTGCTTTGAAAAATTCCTGAAAAAAATGGTGCAAAACTATATTTTGTAAAGTTACAATTGCTAAGGTATGTAGCAAAAAAATATTTGCCGTATTAAAAAATTTTACTTACGTAAAAGTTGCACCCAGGTGCCGGCTTGAAAACGTAATTGACAGAATTTGCCTATCTCATTCCAAAAAGAAATGGCAGCCATTTCTGCATGGCGGGGCTACTCGGGACACCCCCCAGGGCTATTCGGGACATCCCCAAAAACGCATTTACGGTAGAACCTCAGTTAGCAAAGGCTCCAGTTAAGAAAAAAATTGATTAAAAACAAAGAATATTGATTACATTTACCTTGCTGGGCAAAAAAAGTTCACTTATCGTCACACAAATTACAAGCCGTCCTGGGGCCGGATTATCAAAACTTCATAACTTTTTGTACTTACGACAAAAAAGTTCTGTGGTACGTAAATACACCCTAATTTTGGCATTATCAAAACTTTCATACGCAAGTCTTAGCTAAAAGCCTAAATTTTTTCCCCGCGCAAATGTTTTTATAATACTACCATTAGTATTACGTTGTCATAGCAACGCTACTCGTAAGTCGATTTTGCGTACTTACGAAATTTTGATAATACCTTATGACCTTATGATGAGTTTAGGACGTAGTAGTCCAAGGTCACGCTGATGCGCCGCCTTCGTCATCCTCCGTCTCCTAGTCATCCTCAGATGTAACGTTGGACGTGTTCAGTCTAATACAGCCCCTGTAAGCTTACAGATACAGAAAAAAATGCTATAAGGCTGCCGATATGAAGCTTGCAGTGAACAAGGTTGTTGTAAATGCTCAATGGCATGTTCATGGATAGGGTAATATCACATCAATAATACAGTAATATCCCATCAATAATACTGTACCATCAACTGGGTGATTCTGCCCTGTTCATAATGATGGCCAAAGCGGGGTCATAAACTTTCATAAACAATGGCCAAAGTCACTCCGGCGTTTATGACCTGGTTTACAACCCTGGCGTTTATGACCCCGGCGTTTACGACCCCGGCGTTTACGACCCCGGCGTTTACGACCCCGGCGTTTACGACCCCGCGTTTACGACCCCGCGTTTACGACCCCGCGTTTACGACCCCAGCATGAATCAAAAGCGCGGCCGAAGTCACCCCAGTTGACGGTAATTAATGTTTATGGTAATATCATATCAATAAAGGAAAAACAAGTAAAAATCACAGAAAATGTCATTTATTCTACCTCTACATCGTCTACAATGAAAGAGGAGGACTTCAGAGTACTGTTAGTAATGGATGAGTATGCTCTGCATGCTTCAAATGTTTTGAAATGAAGTTTTATTCCCATTGTCTGGAGTAGCCCCGACCGACAGGGCTACTTGGGACAATCTTTATTTTGCGTCTGGCACCTTAGGAATAGCATATGGAATTTTTTGACAATGCCAATCGATAGCCCTCGCAAAGAGCTATAAAATGAGCTTAAATTTGTTTATAAAATGCTTCATCCTAAGAAGTTATCAACAGTTATTAACAAAAAAAAAACGATCAAATCTGTCCCGAGTAGCCCCGGTTGACGGTAGCCTATAAGTAGGTGTACAGACTCCATGCAAGCGTAGAAAACAACTACGGTACCTTTAGGACTGCAACTAGAGCTTTCCAACCATTTCTGGAACCGCAAGATGAATTACCTCCTATCTAATCATAGTGGCAATCGAGAACATCTTTTTTTCTATGGTCAACATAAAATTTCTGAACATAAATCAAGCATATGCATTGCATCATAATTTTATGAACCCTGATGGTAAACAGTCAAAATATAACTCAGTTTACAGATAAATTTGCATTGAAAAAAATAATTTTTACATATCTCTGGCTCCAACATTAGTAGGTTCTGCTCTGTTAAGATGGCAATGCAAGCTTGGGACTGGCAGCACAGGCATTGGCGCCAGTTCAAAATGTACTACTGGCAACAACACGGCGCACACCTTGTTCAACACTTCACATTCAAGGATCAGATTTAGAAGTTGAACTCGTTCTCTCCTTCCAAATAGAGACTCTTTTCTGCCATAGAGGAGACGTTCATTCCTTTCCTATCTGCTCTACTACCATACGCATTTGATTTGATTCCTAATTTAGAGTAAACTCTGCATTGATGGATTTTTCGCAATTGATATATAGTACCTATCAATCTGACAGTGTGTACAATTTTTTAAAACCAACTTGCAAAACAAAGTTTCATAGCGTGTTTTCCATGCATAAGTTTATGAAATCAAAAGTGATCTTTACCAAATTAAAAACAAAACTATTCACCCACAATGCCCTCGTGCAAACATGACTGGGTATTTTTGTTTCTGCATTAATTTTAATGGATGTGCTAAATGATAACTTTTTAACACTGCTTCCTGCACAAGATCTTC